TATATTTTATAAAAATGTAATCAAAATCCTAATATCGTGCTAATAATTTTCAAAATGTCAATATTTAAAACGAAATATGCAAATAAAATATGTGCAGGAGTATTACTTATTAACCCTACTATCTTAAGTTAAGTATTTCTTATATATATGTATGCACATATATTTACATTATAATTAAAGACATAAACAAGTAATTTATAATAAAATTATTTACTAAATTACATATAAAATTTAATTTACAATATAAATTGGAAATATTATAAAGGTTGTCGTATATATAATATTATTAAATATATAATGGCTTTTTTAGATTTTATTATATATTTCTGTTATATGATGTTATTTTTCATATTATTATATATTTTTTAAATAACATCATCTATACTAGAATGAATAATACTATCACAATTTTAAATGAATAAATAATTTAATAAAAGCATTAATATAATATAAATTATGTAGAATTAAGTAAAATAATATGTCTTATTATACGTGATATTAATATAATATTTAGTCTGACATTTTTAACAAATAAAAAATTATTATAAAAAGTATAGAATATAGTTTTTTTCATTAGAAATTACATAAATTATGATGGGTGACTCTATATTAGATGATGATGATGATGTATGCTTTAACGTTTAATAAAATAAAGCTTCATAAACATAGTTTTAAAATATCTTATTTATTAAAAATGAATGCCATTTTTTTTCTTAGGATTTTTATAATTTTTGTGCATATTATGACTTTTATTTTTAGTTCGATATTAATGGTATATTTCCCACATGTACAGATGGTTTCGACTGGGATATACATTCACGAAGATCTCAATTGGCCGATGACTTCACAAATTTGTGTAGTAACTTTTATAATAAAGAAATGCCAGGAAATCTTTCCACCCCTTTTTCTCAAGTATGTCGTGTTCTTGGTTTATATTTAAATCATATAGAAGGAAATGTAGAAGACACTAAAAAAAAAGATTGGTGCATATTATTCTATTATAAACTGAAAAAAGATATAATAAATAAATATCCACTAAAAGAATGTAATAACAGTAAAGAATACTATAGGAAAATGACAGAAGTGAATAATGCAAAATATGGTACAAGAATTTCTAGTATATGTATGGAATATTTTGTCAATATTGATCAAGACACATCTAAATTATTGGAATATCTATTTGAAATATATAACTGTATTAATGTTTTTAAAACATATCAAAAAAGGACCACTGAGAATATGCATAAATTTAAAAGGTATATACAAAAATTAGAAGAGCATCATTATAAAAATAAAATTCAACTTAAGTCAGAACTCGAAAAAATTATTAACAAATGTGAATTCTATATAAAAGAATGGAATTCTGATACACATTTTGCAAAGCATGCCTCAGATCTCCTAACTTTTGATAATTGGATAGAAACAAGAAAAAGGAAACTAGAGGAATTAGGTAAAATAACTTTGATGAATTCTGGGACATATAATCTAACAAATACAGAAATGCAGCATACAAAAGTAATAGGTTCCCCAGCTTTAATGAGTTATGCGACAGATGATGTAACAAACACAGGAATAAGTATTGGAACGGTTTTTATATCGTTTTCAATATTAATAATTATGTTTATATTGTATAAGGTTAAAAAGTAAAACAATATAACAAATTTATTTTTTATTATAATTTATCTTAGAAATATCCATAAAAAATACACATAATATAAATGAATAATATTAGGGAATATTATATAATTTTTTCTTTAGCATACCCCTTATTTTATATTTTTAAAACCAAGGGTAAAGAAATTAAGAAAAAAGTTGATTAAAAATAACAAAAATAATCGGGAAATTATGTATTCATTTGATGTTGAAAACAAAAATTCAGTTGATGATAGGTATAAAATAGCATATAGTTAAATTAACAAAATCCAATAAATGTGTAATATTAGTTACAAAATCAATTTTATTTCACTTTAATATACACAATATAACATTTGAACTGTTGTAGAAAATAAATTTAATTATATTTATATAAATTATTAAGATAAAATATTAAGAGACTATTTATAATAACACGTAAAATTCCATAATGTATGAAACTTCAATTTTGAAATATTATTAAAAATGGAAGAATAAGCATCTTACTGCGCAAAAATATAATAAATTAAATACATATATATCATTTCCTTATTTACTGAAATTATGGTACATTATTATAATTGATTTGGAGATACAAGTATTGTGCATTCAACTAACAGTAATTCTCACAGAACAAAATGAGCTCATAGATGAAAATTATGTTATAATATTCAAATATCGTCTATCTAATTGTAAATATACATATATATAATATATTATTTCTTTTGAAATAAAATAGAAAAAACTGTGAGTATTATAATTTTTTTTTTTCCGCAATCAAACGTGTATAACTATTGCAAGTATTATTTTGACATTTAATACTTTTTTGGATATGTTAATTTTTTACTTAATATCTTTAGAATTACTTATTTTTTTACCATAATACATATATGCCAATGTATTAAAAAAAATTGTATGCATATTATTAATACTTCTACAAAATACCACAAAGAAACAGTAAGAGTTATTTATTTTTATTTTTTATTATATAGAGCTTTTCTCAAAACATATAATATTTTGAATGTTGCTTCTCCTAATTTTAATATATATTATATAAATTATTTATTCTTTCACATATTATCATTGTGCTTATGAAATAATATAAATATTTATTATTACATATATATCAATGAAGAGGGTGCCCCATTTAAATATACATCGAGATATTCATTGTAATGAAAATCCTAAAAATATTTTATAAATTCTTCTTTATTGAAAATAATTCTTTCCTAATATAATTATATCCCTCAAATTATATTTAATAATAGATTTAAAAAAATATATGTATATAAATTATTCCGTTTAACTATATATATTATTAATTGATAACACTTATTTTCCACCTTCCGCTAACAGTATTTTCCGTGTAATTTATTATCATATTTGTTAAAACATACATAGATTCATAAAATGTAAAAGGAAAGAATAATGTTCACAAATTACATAAAAATAGTGTAAAAAAATTATGTCATTTGAATTTTAGGAATAATACCTATTTAAAAAAAAAGTTTACATATCTGTTAGACATTATTTAAATTTACAATAAGCTTTATAATAAAGGAAATACGTATTTTCTTTATAGAATTATATAAATGATGATACAATATAAAAAATTTTTTATGGGTAAAAAATAGTATTTCAACAAAAAAGTGCATTACATTATAAAATTCTGAAAAAAATTACTTAAAAAATATATAGCTTAATGTTATATTAATAATAATAGTATCGTTGAATATGTCTCTATACAATCTATAAATATTGATAAATATTCCATAAAAAAATATAAACAATATACCAAATACTAAAAAATATTTTGTATATAAATAATTTAAAAAAAAATTGCATATATATAATAGTATCGAAATTTATTTATTTTTTGTAAAATTATAATACTGATAAAAAATGTTAATACGTAAGAGTTAAATACACTCAACATAAGGGTATAACTAGATAAATAAAAAATATAGAGTACTCTATGAAATATGAAAAACATTTTGTTTCTAACTGCTATTTTTACATTGCTATTACTTCAACTATGTATTATTTTTCATTAAACTATATGTATGAATCAATACCCAAATTGAATTTATATTTCACCTTTGATTTTTTTCATTAAACACAATTTACTTTCTTTATTATATAGAACCATAAAAGATATATATTAAATTCCTTAAATTTTTTTTTAAACAGATCATTATTCTATAACTAAACGTAAAATTAAAATGAAAAAAAAATCATAATAGACCCAAAGTAATTATCAGTTATATTTTATTAATTTAAGAAAGAATTCAATATAGGTATTCATTTATGATGAGAATATATTTAAAGAATTTAAGAGTTTGTTTTCGCTAAATAGTGTGTTCTTAAATAATAATATATGTTTTTATTTTTCTGTCTAGTAAAATGGGCTCCTATGAATAACATTATTTATTTTGTATAAAAATGTGCTTAAGTTTTCTTTGTTAACTTTTCTAATGATTTAATATATATAGCATATTCAATATGATATATTATATTATTAAGTATATATATATTTATTCTTTGTTAAAACAAAACTTCTGATTAATTATTATGAAAATAAATATGATTTAGTACATTTTATTTGTGATAATATTTAATATTTTATGTTTTAATTATGTATCAAGGAGAAAAAATAATTTTCTTTAAATTATTCCGTATTCATTATGAAAAGTTTTTTAATTTTATCATTATTAATTAACATTAACACATCAAATTCATACATAAATAAATTAAAGTTAATAACAATAGAATTATGAATAACAGGGAATAAAAATTATTTCAAATATACTACATTTAGATAAGCAGAAAATTTTATAAGGAAAAAGTGAATAATACTTTGAAAATAAAATATTTGCTATGATAAATGTAATATCTATCATTTAAATAAAAAAATATATACTTTTATTATATAATTCCAATATATGCATAATAGAATATATAAATATTAGAAAAGTATCCCCTTACTTATCTCACAAATTGTTTATTAATTTTTCTGTAACATTGTATAAATAATTACACAAAAATGTTATTTATATTAATATTAAATAATTTTTACACTAATGTACTATAATTTATATTGTGATAATTTTTTTACTTATATAGATTAAGCTGTTTGAGTTTCAGGGTTAATTATAATCAATGTAAGCAAAAATTAAAATGATAATAACATACTATATATCATACAAGTAATTACGGGTAAAAATATTAATAACTATATTCTTGTTTATCCATATATAGAAATATATAATGTATATTTAATGTATATCACATTGGAAATTTTTTATTTTACAAAATTAAGAAAGTCTATTTTACCAGAAATAATGCAAATATAAAAGCATAAAAATGATATAAGAAATAGTAAAAAGTATTTTTATTTCAAACTATGATATGAGAAAAAATAAATCAATATATGACAAAATATATTATTTATGGACTATATATTTTTATTGAATTAAACTCTTATAATAATTATAACAATATATGCTAAAATATTAAAATTCTAGCATTTATAAACGATTGTTTAAAAGGAATATTATTAGTCTACATAACAAATTAATATTATAAATTATATTGAATTGATATACTAATGCGCGAAGACTTTGTCTAATTATATTTTAAAAATATATTCAGATATAAGAATTAGTAGCTATTATAAAATTCCTATAAATAAAATTACATAATATGGTAATTATATTGAAACGTCATATTGAATTAATGATGAAAGGTGTTTTCAATATTATAAGTATATATCTAAGTATGAATGTAAACTATATTAATTGGGATGAAAAAAAACTATATGTAATCTCTTAATATTTATATATGCATGATATATGAAATTAGTACAGCAGAAAACAAAAAAATTATATTAAATCATACAATTTTTTTAAAAAATATACATATACACATTCTAATATATATACTCATATATAAAAGTTTTATAAAAAATTCATAAAAAAATTATTGATAAGTATTTTAATTTTATTTTACTTTAATTATGTACACAAAATATGAAAATGAAATATGGGTATAGAAATAAATTCCCTATTCACATATAACCCAATTAAAAGTTACAAGTTTAATTTTATAGATGTATATTTTTGTACGCTTTAAAAAAAAATAATTTTTTTTTTCTATTAGATCTATAAATCGTATTTTTTATATTCTGAATTAATCTATATTTGTTAAAATATGTAATATAAATATGTATTCATTTCTTTATTTATATATTATCTAGATTTCAAATTACAAGAAAAAATAAACAAAAAAAAGGAGAAAATTAATATAAATTGTATACATTTTTCCTTAAAGAATAATTTAAATACATCAATTAATGTTTTTCTAAAAATATATTTTATATAAATTATATGTCAGATTTGAAGTATCTGCATTATATTTCATATAATATCAAAAATAAATATAATAAGTACATAATAAAATCTCTATTATTTGAAGAATAATACTGAATTGTACATATGATTATTTTTTCATGTAATATTTATATGTATTTTGTAACTCACTTCTATCTATAAAATATAAATTTTATTAACAGCTTATGATGTAATAAAGGATAAATACAATTTTCAATTAATATTCTCATAAAATAATTATAAGAATTCTGATATTTGAAATCTATTCTCGGATAATTCTAAGTTTAATTTTCAATATTTTCCTTAAAATATATGAATAAAATTTTTATTTGTACTTTCTTTGTTTTCTATAGTATTCCAATTTATAGTTATCTCAATATAATATATTTATAACCTTATTATTATATATTAAATTTTGTAATAACTATACTTATTATAATATATTAAAATTTACAATTTTTATATGTATCCTAACTATGAATTTGTTCCAGTTTGGTAATACATATTAATTCTATTGTATTTTTCATTCAATGAAAAATCAAGATTATTTCTTAATGAATTATTATTTCTTTCAAATTTCTTAATTAAATTTTTGATATTATTCCTACTGTATAAAATATTTTGGATTTTAGATTTCTATGAATAAAGAAATTATAAATATAATGTATAAATATTTCCATTGTTATTTATGTAAAAATATTTTAAGTACTTCCTCAAATATGATAATAAAATTTTAAAATAATCATTGTATTACCTTATAATATACAAAGAACATAAGAATAAGTGTTACTACTACAGATAAAATTACAGAGAAAATTAATTTCGTACGTGAAAAACCAGAAATGTCTACATCATTTGATGACTGAATATATGAATCAGTTTCATCTTGTA